ATCGACTTCCTTATCCGTTGGACTGACCGCACCAGTGAGGACGACACATGGGTGCCATCTGTCTCGATTGGCGCATCCCCGCTAGTTGGTGATTACCTCGCCCGCAAACGTGTTGCGGATATTGACCACCTTTCTTAAAGGGGGGGGGTAGTGTAAGGAATTTTCCCGAATTCCTTATCGGGGTTGACTGCTTCGCGTACAGCCCCGATTTTCGGACTCTGCACGTTCGGCCGACATCAAAGATGCCGAGGCTCCTCGCGTCGCCTTCGGCTTTTCCCGATCGCCAAACCTGCACCCAACCTCGTTTTCCCGAGGTTCCCTCCTAGCTAGGGTAGTCACTACATTAGCGCGTGCCTTCATTGTATTGTGAGTTCATGCAATCACAGTCTCAATATTCGTTATTCTGTGCACTTTTTTGACAAGTCATAACAACGCCGCTGCAATTCGCAAAATCAGACAACAATAGTAGTGGTTTCATCTTGTAAAACAGACATGTCTTAAGCATTCGTCAGAAAAATTTCAGACTATATTTTTTTTCCCCATCTGAACGTTATACGAAAAGGGAAAAAAAACCTTAATGTTTTCAGACGGTCTCAAAGCTTAGCAAGAGCCCAGAACACGCCCTATTAACAATGCAAACATTGTATTATCGTCATCACCCGGATATAAGACATTGTCGAAAAGAAGACACGGGGTGTCTTTAAAACGGGTGCATCTTATAAATGGGTGTTCCTGATTATAAGACACCTGTACGAGTGTACGAGTTAAGACAGTGTCTTGAAAACAGTACTAGGGTTTGTCAAATGTTGTAGCCTTTAATGATGTGTGTCATATGGGGAACATCAGTTAGGGTTAGGTTTATGTATCCCAACCCACTATAGTCAATCATTCATTCGGTTCTTGACATGGTATAAGTTAGGTTAGGATCCTGTTGGATCCCGTTCCTGCCTATCACGCCCGAAGCGCCCTCCCGTCTCACCCGTCCGGTCCCCTAGCGCTCGTTGCACTTGTCTCGTTCCCTGGAGCATGTCGCGCTAGTCCGTCCCGTCCCTTAACGCCGCGTCGTGCCTGCCCGTTCTCTAGGGTCACGCCCGTCCGTCCCGTCCCCTGGCGTCGCGTCGCACGCGCCGCGCCTGCCCGTCCCGCCACACCGCGCCGTCCCGTCTCGTCCCGTTCCGCCGTGCCGCGCCATCCCGTCTCGTCCCGTCCTGCCGCGCCGCACCGCGTCGCGCCTGTCCTGTCCCGACCTGTAGCGCCGCGCCACGCCTGTCGCGTCCTGCCGCGCCGCGCCACGCCCGTCCCGTCCCGTCCCGTCCTAGCCATCCTGCCGCGTCCAGTCCCTCCATTCTCGTCGAGTAGCGCCCTGCCCTGCCTGCTCTGGCCTTCTAGGCGATTTCCAGTTGTAGTTCCTCTCTGCTTCCGCTATGGCAATGCCTAAGGTCCTCCGCTTTGACGCAGAGAGTAGGCCGCTCGAGTTCTCTGTCTGGCTCCTGCGTGCGTAGCGTCTCCTAGAGATTCAGGTTCAGGCATACGAGTTTTTGTGGGCGCACGCGTCCGGTGACCTTCGTGCGCCCCCCAATCCTGAACCCTTAGGCGTTGACCCCACCACTGCGGACAGAGATCGTTTTGCACGTCAGCGTGCTGCCCTGACAGCCTGAAAGTCGCGTGACGCTGCGGCCTGCATCGCTCTCAGCAACCTCTTTCCTAATTCTGAGGAGACCCGTTTCACCCAGGTTCGCACGGCTAGTGAGTTTCTGACTGCGATGAAGGCCCGCTACGCTACTCCCACTACTGTCTCTCTTGGTCGCTTATTCCTCCCGTTCCTGTTTCCTGACCTCGCCTCGTTTGAGCGCTCTGCTGACTTGATCGCTCACCTGCGCTAACTAGATTCTAGCTACCTCGCTGCCTGCATTGACGCACAGCTTGCACTGCTCCCTCCCCCCACCCTCATGGCAATTACTATATATTTCATTGCCACTAGCCTCCCTGACCGCCTTGCCTCGGTTCGTGACGCGCTTCTTCTGAAGCACCCTAGCGAGCTCACTATCGGCGTCCTTGAGTCTACTCTCATGGACGTCGAGAGCAACCTCCGCTCGGTAGCCTCCGCCTCTGGCGCTGTGCCCCCCCCACCGTTTCACGAGTGCACTGTCCCTCAGCGGCCCACCTTTACTGCCACCATCGTCACTGCCGCTACTGACGTGACCGCGCGGTCTAGGGCTAGGAGTGGCAGGAGGGGCGGCCAGGGTGCGGGTGGCAGCAGAGGCAGCGGAGGTGGCATGGCGAGCGGCGGTGGCGGGAGTGCAGGAGTTGGTGGAGCGCCTCGTGCAGCGTCTAGTGACTCCTCTGCTGCAGCTGGTGGAGGTGACGCTCGGGTTAGTCGGGCACCTGCGGGACTGCCAGTTGCAGGTGCTAGAGTGGCGGCTTGGTACCTGACTCAGCGATAGCAACAGCAGCAGCCACTCCTCTCGCAGCAGCCACAGCAGCAGCAGGGGCAGCAGCAGGTTCCAAGGCAGGGCTCAAGACCGCGTCAGCTGTCGCGTGGTGACGCCCACCCTCCCTGCCCCTATCTCATCCAGACAGGTACTCGCAGCGGCTTCAGCTGTGACCGCCGCCACACACCGGGTCAGTGCTTTGCTCAGCTCACTGACACTCTTCGCGCGGCCTACGGCGTCGACGGCCCTGCCCCTGACTGGCTTCCTTTTCTTCGCTCGCACGGTCCTGCTCTGTGGGGCACGTCTGCTTCTCAGTTACTTGATGCCTTAGGAACTCCTCATGCTATGTATGTTGTTGTTGACTCTAGTGCTTCTGACTCTGTTTACTCATGTGTTTTTAGCTTAGGTGCTAGTGTTCTCTCTCCCCCCAGGTCGCATCTCCCTTTCCCCCCAGGTCGCACCTTCCTTTCCCGCCAGGTCGCACCTCCCTTTCCCCCGAGGGCGCACCTCCCCGGACTCTCCTTCACAACGCACCTTCTCTCCCTTCCCTTCCTTTCCCCTCCGATCCCTTCCTTTCACTTTGCTTCCGAAACCCGTGGCAGCAGCACGTTTGCGAGAGGCAGAGGCGTGGCGGGTGTGGGTAATGGGAGGGAAGTGCTTCTCGCACTCAACTGCGCTCACACGAACCCGCGCAATCCTCCTCATCCCTCCAATCCCCTTCTCCTCTGCTCGTCCCTAGGACACCTGACTTGCACATCTGCCTCATGCCCCCCCAACCTTCTTCCTCACTCCCCCTTCCGTTTCCCCTTCTTTCTCCCTCCGGGTGCCCTTTTTCTCCCTTTATTTCTTTGCCTCTCCTTCTTTCCCACTCATTTCCCACTCCTATCCCCCTGCTGCACCTGGCAGTGCTGCGGAGGTGATTTCCTTTCGCCCTGCCATTGCCCTGCCACTCTCCTCTTTTCGCTGCGTGCTGGGCTGAGTGTGCCATGCAGGCGGCAGCAGGGCAGCGGGCTGCCATGCAGGGTTTAGGAAGTGGGCGGGGATGCAGGCAGGCTTTGGCTCTCCACTCGCCCTGCCTCCACACGTTCTGCTCATCCGCCCCTGCTTCCTACCTGCTTGGGCCTCTGAGTTGCTGATGCTGCAGGGGTGACTGCAGGAGCACGAGCACAGCATGGCCTCTCACCACCACTCGAGCTACATTAGTCACGTGTGTGCGGAGGCCACAATAAGATTGGAGGAAAAGGCTGTTTTGTACCTTGCGCAATATACCGTATTATATGAGTAGTTATTGTTCCCCACACCCACTAGTGCTGCAACAGGAGGAGACCATTACAATTGACCACACATATCGTAATATATGTCATCATTATTGGATATATAAAACCCCAAATTGATTGGAAACTTTGCGATATACGTGCAATTCGAGGTTATGATACAACAAAGACCCACACCACACTATCCTCCATAATCTAACCAACTTGTCTGCTTGATCGCTTCATCCATGACGAGCTGCACCACAGAAGGGAGAGGGAAGGAGGGGAGACTCACGGTGACAGTACATGCATTCACATACCATGCCAGAACTGATGACAAATTAGGACTGTATGCTGCGATGAGATGGGTACCGTAGGCGGGCTTGCTGCTAGTAGACTGAGGGGCAGGAAGACAATGTGGTGAGAAGGTGAGGAGGCGAGAAGGCGAAGAGGCAGAAAATGGAGAGAGAGCAGGGAGGGAAGTGAGGGCAGAGAGGGAAGAAAGAACAGGGCAGGAAGAGAGGGCAGGGAGGGAAGAGAGGTCAGGGAGGGAAGAGAGGTCAGGGAGGGAAGAGAGGTCAGGGAGGGAAGAGAGGTCAGGGAGGGAAGAGAGGTCAGGGAGGGAAGAGAGGTCGGGGAAGGGCAGGGAGGGGAGATAGTGGAGAAAGTGAATAAAAATAGGGGAGCAAAGGAGAGAGGGGAGGAAGGGGGAAACAAAGGGACAGCAGTGGGGAAGAAAAGGGGGGGATCACTATTTTAGCTGCTGGCTCTAAATCTAACTAACTTTCCTGCTTGGTTGCTTCATGCATCACGAGCTGCACCACAGTAGGGGGGAAACAATGGGTAAGCGGGGGGAACAGAAAGAGTGAGCAGGGGGAAAACAGAGAGTGAGCAGGGGGAAAACAATGGGTAAGCAGGGGGAAAAGAACGAGTGAGCAAAGGGGTAACAATGTATAAGCAGGGGGGAAAGAGAGAGTGAGCAGGGGGGAAACAATGAATGAGCAAAGGGGAAACAGTGGGTAAGCGGGGGGAAAAGAAAGAGTGCGCAGGGGGGAAACAATGGGCAAACAGGGGGGAAAGAAAGAGTGAGCAGGGGGGAAAAAAAAGGGAAGCAGGAGATAGGACGAAAGGTGCGATGTGAGAGAGGAAAAAAATGGACACTGGAGAATGTCTACCCCCCCCCCCCCTTCCCCACCTCCTCCTCGCTCCCCCTCCCCCTTTCCCCCCCTTCTCGATGCTTATTCCCTCTCCTCCCCTCACCCCACCCCAGCCTTCTCGCTCCTCATCCCCTCTCACCAAGGCGCTACGCTTCTGTCTACCACCCCCGCTTTGCTCGATGCTGGTGGTTATTGGCAATGGGAGGGATGGGAGTAGTGGAACAGAGAGACGGCAAAGGGAAAGCGGAAAGGTGCGTATAGGATGGGGGGAGGCAGGGCGAAGGGAAAGGCGAAAGCCACCAGAAGGGAATGAGGAAACCAGCGCGTACGAATGAGAAAAGCAGCGCGAGGGGAAGCAGGGAAGCAGCGAGAGGGGAAACAGGGAAGCAGCGAGAGGGGAAACAGGGAAGCAGCGCGAGGGGAAGCAGGAAAGCAGCGCGAGGGGAAGCAGGGAAGCAGCGCGAGGGGAAGCGGGGAAGCAGCGCGAGGGGAAGCAGGGAAGCAGCGCGAGGGGAAGCAGGGAAGCAGCGCGAGGGGAAGCAGGGAAGCAGCGCGAGGGGAAGCGGGGAAGCAGCGCGAGGGGAAGCAGGGAAGCAGCGCGAGGGGAAGCAGGGAAGCAGCGCGAGGGGAAGCGGGGAAGCAGCGCGAGGGGAAGCAGGGAAGCAGCGCGAGGGGAAGCAGGGAAGCAGCGCGAGGGGAAGCGGGGAAGCAGCGCGAGGGGAGGATGCAGCGCGATGGGAAGCGGGGATGCAGCGTGATGGGAAGCGGGGATGCAGCGCGATGGGAAGCGGAGATGCAGCGCGAGGGGAGGGAGGGTAGAACGAGGGAAGGGAACTGGGAGGGAACGAAGCAAAACAGAAGCAGGGGAAATGGCTACCATCGGGCGGAACCGTATGAGTGGCGACGCTGAAAGCGAGGAGCGGAGAAGTGGGAGTAGAATGCGCTGAGCTGGAAAAGGGGAGTGGGATTGCGCGAGCAAAAAGTTGGACAGTGGAAAGCGGCGCGCTGGTTGCAACGAGTGACGCGCTGGTTGCCACGAGCAACGCCGGTTTTGCGGCGACCGACGTTGAGTGGACGCTGAGACACGCGGCGACCAGCAGCGACACTCGAGCTTTGAGCTGCGAGCGAAAGGCGACGCGCGACGGTCATCTGCCTAGCGTATTGCTTCAACACGGTGAAAACGGTGACTTGAATGGCGAGCTACGATGGGTCAGCAACGAACTGCGACATTTGAGATCCAAGCCGCGAAAAGATACGATTGGCGACGAACGACCGTCGTGCTAACAGAAAGCGGGGAGCGGTAAGAGGTGGAGAGCTGGAAACGATGAGCTCACCGCCTTGTTGCAGATCGGCGACGAGACGAAAGCGACCAGGTGAAAGCGCGGGAGAACGCGGCGATTCTGAATGCCGGGAGCACGTTTTATTAGCGACTGCTTTGTGTCTGAGTCAGTACGTGAGGGAGCTGTCTGAGCCAGACTTAGGACGCGTCACAAGTAAAATATCGAGGAAGGATCAGGGTTGTTCACCGAACCTGTCAAACCGATCGCCATATCGGTGTGTCACGACTGCTTTGAAGTTTCAAGTGACACGATCGTAAAAACATGGGGCAAAATTGCCCGATGTGGACGAAATTGCACGATCGATGTGTGACAGGGGCACATCGATCGCCTGACTTAGAAGGGAAAACTGTACGTTAGCGAAAAAAAATAAACGAAAATGTGTAACCACCTAAACACCGATTCTAGGCAGGTTCGATATTCTACTTGTGACGCGTCCTTATGGTATACAAACTCATCAGCGAAGTGGATCAAGTTGTAACCGGGGAGGATCGGGGACCGAACACCGAAAATGTGTGCAGCGTGTATGAAAATCGGTTTCCAATCTGCATGAGCAGTGTTAGGCTGCTTCTCCGAGCCAAGTGAGACACGACTGGATTTGCAAGTGGGGGACCTCCACCAAGTGTACAGCCAATTTCGAGGGCAGGTGCCGTGCTTCGCTGGCGCGTCGTTCACTTTCGCCTGGGTTGTGACGACGCGATCGCACAGCGCAGATGTAGCCCAACGACAGTTTTTTATGTCGCTCTGTTACCACTTCGAGAGTGGCCGACAGTATGCGACGGCGATCGATCGTGGCTGGCACCGGTGGCGCGATTTCGTTTCCCGCGCTGCCAATCGCACGATCGATGTGGCATTTCGAGCGGGGCAATCTCGTCAAGCTGCAAGTTCACGAGATTCGCGTCATGGTTGTGCGAAATCGGGATACACATAATTCGCCAGCTGGCGAATTCACTGTAGATGGTGAACACCGAACCTACACAGGGTCGGTGTTGCAATTGTGACGCGTCCTAACCTCGCGAAATCGTTCCCGCTGTTGGTTTGGGAACCCCCACCCCCCTCCCGAAACCTTCCCCCACGATTGTTCGTTTCTCCGCAGAGGGGTACTTGTGGAGGAAAGGTTACCCTATTTCCAAGTGATAAACCTTTCCCTCCCCCTCGAGGTATGTAAACCGCAACGGCACTCAACTCAATGGTGTATGGATGCTATTCGTCAGGCCAAGGACATGTCAGTTTGGCGTGGTTTGGCGCGAAAATGATAACTCACTTTGGCAGTCACAGAGCAGCATAAGCTCAATTCACTTCCTCCCAGCTAGTTTATCCTGCCGAAATGAGAGATGCGCAGTTCGGAACTTAGCTTAGTGACAATCGCTCTCCTAGACTGAAATCGTTGGAACTATAGTTGCTCCCTTCATCATATCATTTGCACTTGCCCGCTACGAGGAGCCGTGCACCAGTAGGAGAAACGAGAGTATGTGTTTTAGCACAAATAGATGCTTCTAGATAAGCAGGCGCGCGCTTGGAGCATATGAGCGAGTAGGTGCGCGCAGCAGCATCCGCGGCAGAAGCGGTGCGCGCTAGAAGCGTATGAACAGGTGGGCAGCAGCACATCGCACCTGGGGCAGAGGCAGCGGCATGTGGGCGTGTAACGCCTGTGGGCTGAGTGTTAATGGGCATTCCACTGCGCCAAATAACACCCTTGTTTTGACCCAGTGGGTAGCGAGGTGTTATACTGGAATCAGAGCCTAGGTTTCAAATCCTGGCTGATTCACATTTTCCGCCTGTGGCGAGAATTTGAATGTGGTAACCGGATCGAACCCAGCGAACGATCCTTCGCTGGCCTGGTCCACCAGCGAAGTCGCTGCTTGGAGCACAGCGAATAGGTCCCTGCGGGGGCCGACTCCCTGAAGTTCGTCAACGAGGACGTTGACACCAGGGGGGGACGAGTGTAACGCCTGTGGGCTGAGTGTTAATGGGCATTCCGCTGCGCCAAATAACACCCTCGTTTTGACCCAGTGGGTAGCGAGGTGTTATAGGGCGTGAGGCACAGCAGCGCGCTTGAAGCAGCAGCGCGCAGCAGCCTGATTGCATTAGCAGGTGCATTTGCAGCATCGGCAGCAGCAGCAGGGCGGAGCAGTAGGGGCGTTAGGAGAAGCGGCAGCGGGATATGCGGGTGAAGCACCGGAGCGCGCTAGCAGCAGCGGCGCACAGCAGCTGGGATCGCATCAGTAGGCGCATCCGCAGCATCAGCAGTAGCAGCAACGCGCATCGAGCAGCGGCAGCGGGTTGTGCACGTAAAGCAGGCAGCGGCGCGCAGCAGATGGGATCGCATCAGCAAATGCATTCACAGCATCAGCAGTAGCAGCAACGTGCATCAGTAGGGGCGTTAGGAGCAGCGGCAGCGGGATGTGCGCGTAAAGCACCGGAGCGCGCTAGCGGGAGTGGCGCGCAGGAGATGGGATCGCATCAGCAGGTGCATTCGCAGCATCAGCAGTAGCAGCAACGCGCATAAGTAGGGGCGTTATGAGCAGCGGTAGTAGCAGGTGCCTATCAAGCCCAACTTAAACACCAGCGCATCGCAGCAGCAAGGGGTGTTTGGTGCATCGGCATCAGCAGCGCATAGCAGCAGCAGATGTGTTCGCTGAATGGGCATCAGCAGCGCATAGCAGATGTGTTCGGTGCATCGGCATCAGCAGCGCATAGCAGCAGCAAGGGGTGTTTGGTGCATCGGCATCAGAAGCGCATAGCAGCAGCTGGTGTGTTCGGTGCATCAGCATCAGCAGCGCGTTGCAGCAGCAGCGGCATCGGCATGTACGCATGTTGCATCGGGCGCACATTAGCAGCATGTGCATTTGGCATGTGCGCGTGAAGCATCGAGCACGTTAGCTGTGAGGATTTGGTTCAGGAAAGATGATTCTATTGAATGATTCACCTGGGTACAAGGCGAGGCTATATATAGGCTCGACACAAAGGCAGTAACCCGGGTGTTACTAGAAGGTTCCGCGGGTCGCGAAGCGTCCCGAACGGGTCCTTCCCGAATTCGGTAGAAGGCAATTCGGTGGCAACCGAAAAGCCTAGAATTCGGTGCACTCAACCTAGTTCGGTGCCTAAAACTATAATAATATAGTAAAAGCAACGAACCTAGGAAATCTAGCAAAGGCAAGCAAAATAAAGCAAAGCTAAGCTAGATAATGCATAGTAAAGCAGAATCAAGCTAGTAAAGCGTAGCAATGACGTCGTACTCTCACACGTCCCCCCCTCAAAGCTGGGTGGCGTGAGAAACACCCTGCTTGACAAGATAGTCATTGAGAGCACGACGTGCGTTGCCCATATCAGCTTCTGCAACCCAACTATCCTCCGATGGGTCATATCCCTTCCAGCGTATCAGGAACTCGAGCGTATTGCCGCGTCTGCGTCGATGAGCGAGAACTTTTTCCACCTCGTACTCTGGTTCATCCTGTATGAGAACAGGTGATGGTGGCGGTAGCTGGCGTCCCTGGAACTGTTGGTTGGGGTCCTTGTAGGGCTTTTGTAGCTGAACATGGAAAGCATTGTGAAGCTTCCACGTAGTAGGTAAGCGCAAGCGGAATGTTACTGGTGTCACCTGTGCCTCAATGCGAAAAGGACCACAGAAGCGAGGCCGGAGTTTGGACGGTAGGTGAGACAGGTTCAAGTTGTGCGTGTCAAGAAGCACCTGATCTCCGACTGCTACTGAGTGATCACGTCGCTGGCGATCGGCATACTGCTTCTGGGAGTTCTGCATCGTGGTGAGATGTTGGTGAGTCTTCTCCCATAGCTGCTGCATGGTGGTGACGAAGTCGTGTGCGGCTTGGATGTGTGCCGGTGTGGTTGGCTGCTGTGGTGTAAGTGGTTCCCGTCCGTAGCACAGGAAGAATGGAGATTTCCCTGTGGCCGCATGCGACGCGCTATTATAAGCGAACTCAAGTATCGGTAACTGTGAATCCCAGTGGCTGACGTCGTCTTTGCAAGCTGTGCGCAGTAACTGTTCAACCACCTGATTGAGTCGCTCTGTCTGTTCGTCAGTCTGGGGGTGGTACGCTGAAGACATCGCAAGCTTTGTCCCCAACAATCCCATGAGTTCCCTCCAGAACTTACTAGTGAACTTAGGGTCTCTTTTCGAGATAAGTGTAGCGGGGATGCCGTGGATGGTGATGATGCGGTCGAAGAAGAGGCGAGCAGTTGCTTCAGCAGTAGCCGTGGCGTTGGTCGGGATGAAGTGTCCCATTTTAGAGAACTTATCGATCACCACGAGTATAGCGTCATGCCCTCGTGAGGTCGAAGAAAGCCCAGTAATGAAGTCTAGGCTGACAACTTGCCATGGCTGCTCCGGTACGGGTAAAGGCTGAAGTAACCCTACTTTTTTCTGCTTGCTATTCTTCATCCGCTGGCACTGTCAAACATTATATATGTTATGCTTGTGTAGGCTACAGTGGGTTAGCCTATACGGGGTACACAATTCTAGGGTTAGGTACTTGTACTGTTTTGCACTGTTAGTTCATCATTCCTGTTCGTTCTTTCCGACATGGTTTCAGAGCAGGTCCTTCGCTAGGACCGTTTTTTTTTAGGGCCCACCACTACCTACCTACCTACCTACCTACCTACCTGCGCCCTAGGGCGCCTCGTTTTTCACGGCCCCCTAAGGCCCCGCGACCCGCGACCCGCCCCTTAGCGACCCGCGCGCCGCCCCTTAGCGACCCCGTCGGCCCCGCGCTCGCCCCTTACGGCCCCGAACGGCCCCGCGCTCGCTCCTAGCGACCCCGATCGGCCCCGCGCTCGCCCCTTACGGCCCCGAACGGCCCCGCGCCCGCCCCTTACGGCCCCGTACGGCCCCGCGCTCGCCCCTAGAGGCCCCGAATGGCCCCGCGCTCGCACCTAGAGGCCCCGAACGGCCCCGCGCTAGCCCCTAGAGGCCCCGATCGGCCCCGCGCTCGCCCCTTACGGCCCCGCACGGCTCCGCGCTAGCCCCTAGAGGCCCCGTACGGCCCCGCGCTCGCCCCTAAAGGCCCCAACGGCCCGCGACCGCTACAGCCGCCCGATCCGAGCCGAGCCGCGCGACCCGAACCGAGCCGCCCAGTCCGAGCCGAGCCGCGCGCCCCGAACCGAGCCGCGCCGCCCTAGCCGAGCCGCACAGCCCTAGCCGAGCCGCGCTGTCCTACCTGCACTACACTACTGCTGCTGCTACTCCTACTGCTGCTACTGCCACTGCTACTGCTGCTATGGCTACTCCTCCTGTACTCGCTTTTGATGCTGAGGGCCGCCCGGTGAAGTTTGACACCTGGCTCGATGACCTGCACCTCTACCTACAGCTCACTGCCAAGGAAGATATTTCACTGTACGATCACGCCCTAGGCCACGCTACTGCACCTCCTACTACTGCTGACAGCACTCAGCGCTCACAGTGGCAGACTCGTGACGCTCACGCTCGCTTTGCCATTCGCAACTCCCTGCCGCTAGATGAGCGCGAGCACTTTGGCCAGCACAAGACTGCTAAGGAGCTGTACACTGCTGTAGTTGCTCGTTACTCCTCGCCTGCTTCTGCCGCACTAGGCCGCCTCTCCCTCCCCTACCTGTTCCCCGACCTGGCCTCCTTCCACACCGTTGCTGACCTCATCACCCACCTCAAGACTAGTGAGGCCCGCTTCCGCGCAACTATGCCTGCCGAGTTCCTAGCTAACAACCCCCCCCCGCTCTGGCTCGTTCTCTACCACCTAGTCACCCGCCTCCCTGACTCTCTGCGCGCAGTCAGGGATCACTTTCTAGCTCGCTGCCCCACTGAGCTCACCATTGCCCTCCTCGAGAAGGAGCTACTTGCAGCCGAGGCGAGTGTCGTCGCTGTAGGTGCCTCTCGTGGTGACCCCCGCACTCCTTTCTTTGAGGGGTGTTCCCCTTCCCCCCTCCTTCCCTCTGTCGCCTCTGCTTCTGCTGTCGACCTTCTTGGTGCTGAGAAGGTCGGGACCGCGTCTGCTTCGAGCGGGCGCCGCAGGACGAAGGGGGGCAAGGGTGGAGGTGGCGGCGGGGGCGGTAGGGGTGGAGGCGGTGGGGGTGGAGGAGGGGCTGGAGAGGCTAGTGGCGGCAGTGGGGGTGGTGACGGCAGCGGCGGGGGCGGTGGCAGGGGCGGGGGCGGCGGTGGGGGCGGAGGTGGTCGTGGCAGCGGCAGGGGAGGCGGTGGTCGCGGAGGTGGCGGCAGTGGTGGTGGCCGTGGAGGCGCTGGCGGTGGTCTGAGCCAGCAGCACACTCCGTCGCTCCAGGAGGCCCGTGAGTGGTATGCCCAGCGTCTTAGCTGCACGTATGTCATCCGCACTGGTGACCGCACTGGTCAGCAGTGTGGGAGGCCGCACCCCACGCAGCGCTGTTTCGCGCGCCTTACCGACGCTTGGCGCACCCAGTTCCCTGATGGCGCTGAGCTGCCCCGCTGGGCTGATCTGGAGAGGAAGGGGGTTGATATCTGGGCTCTAGACTTTGATGCTATTCTCACTGCCATGTATGCCATGTTTACTAGTGGAGAGGGTGCTCAGTACTTGTGTGTTCCGCCCGACCCGGGCATTCTGACCAGTGAGACTGCCGCTCCAGGTGCTAGTGAGACTGCCGCTGCAGGTACTTGCGTGTCTGCTCCCTCAGGTGATGGTGAGGCTGTCGCTCTAGGTGCTCGTGCGTCTGTCCCCCCTGGTACTGAGTCGACTGAGGCACTGCACACCTTCACCCTGGACTCAGGTGCTTCACGCTGTTTCTTTCGTGACCGCACTGTCCTTGAGCCACTTGCTCGGCCAGTTGCTGTCTCCCTCGCTGACCCCTCTGGGGGTCCGGTCATTGCGACCTCCTCCACTGTGTCGAAATAACAGACTGGGATGATTGAACTAACAAGGAAGGCAGCACAAATAGTAAACCCTAGAGATCTGTACCCCATATGGTCTATCTCACTGTAGCCTAACAACAACCAACACATATAATGTTTGACACACCCCCATAGGCAAAGTGGGGGAGACCTAGGGGTCACAAGACCAGTCAAGGCAAAGCAGGGCAAACAAGCTCAGGGTGGATCTCGAGGATTCCACACAAATTCCGAGCACAAGCTAGTGGTCACAAGACCAGTTCACATGCAGGTTTATAACAGAGCAAGAGATACAGTGATCACAACCTAGCAAGAGTAAACATGCAGGTATATATATATATATATATATATATATATATATATATATATATATATATATATATATATATATAGTGATCACAGTACAAGCAAAGTCAAGAGGTAAGCAAGTGAGGTCCAGTAGGCACAAGGCCTAACAGAGTGCAGAAGCGCTGATGGTCACGAGGCTGAAGCGCCTTGGTGAACACATCAGCAGTGTTGGCCTCAGTGGCCACGTAGCGAATACAAAGCTGACCGCAATGCTGCAGCTCACGAGCAAGGAAGTACCTCAGGGCGATGTGCTTCGTTCTGTGCTCCAGTCTGTGCTCCTCACACAAGGCAATGGCAGCCTTGTTGTCGACGTACAGTACTGGAGGAGAACGAGGCCGCTCTCCGAGGTCGGTCAGCAGGTAGGTCAGCCAGCGTAGCTCCTGGGCAGCCATGGCTGTAGCGTAGATCTCAGCCTCGCAACTGGAGCCGAGAACAGAAGAAGAGCGTGTAGAGCGCCAAGAAACTGAGCCAGAGCCAAGGCTGAAGGTGTAACCCTGAGACGACCGCTGAGTGGCCTGGTCGTCTGCCCAAGAAGCGTCTGAGTGCCCTGTGAGAACAACTCGGTCTCGCCCTCCAAGCACAAGCCCCATGCCCGACGTACTACACAAGTAGCGCAACACCCTCTTAGCGGCATCCATGTGCTCCTTCCTGTGACGGCCAGGAGCGACATAGCGTGCAAGGATGCTAAGAGGGTATGCAAGGTCAGGTCGAGTGCAGGTCATCAGGTACATGAGGCAGCCCACAAGCTCTGGATACGGGCCACTCGGCTCTACGGACTCATCCGAAGGCAGAGCTGAGAGCGAGTGACCGGTAGGCAGAGGAGTGGACTGAGGCGAGGAGTACGTGAAGCGGAAGCGCTGGAGAACCTGCTGCACCATGTGTGACTGAGTCAGGGTGATGGTGCGCCGTGCTCTGTCCCGGGTGATCCGCAAGCCAAGATAGCTTGTCAGCTCACCCAGGTCTGTGCACGTGTGTCTCCTCTGCAGCTCCGACTTCACGTAGGCGAGTCCTGCAGTGTCAGCAGTGGCAAAGACCAAGTCGTCGACGTACACGAGGATGTAGAACGGCGGCAGCGAAGTGTCGGTGCGCAGGAACAGCGACGGGTCAGCTGTAGAAGGCGCGAACCCAAGAGCCGCAAGTGTAGTCCTCAGTGTGTCGTGCCACTCACGCGGAGCCTGGCGGAGACCGTAGACCGGCCGCTGAAGCCTCCACTGGGTACCAGGAGGAAACGACCCAGTGAAGCCAGGTGGGCGGCGCAGCCAGATCTCCTCGTGCAGGCTGCCCTGCAAGAAAGCAGTGCTGAAGTCAAGTGAGTGAAGCTCGTAGTCACGGTGAGCGGCTATGTGCAGCAGCACCCGAAGAGTAGTCATCTTCGGGGTGGGGGAGAAGGTCTGGAAGAAGTCAACTCCCTCTCGCTGACTGAAGCCTCGAGCCACGTAACGCGCCTTGAAGACAGGCGGAGAACCCGGCGGCCGCTTCACCCTGAAAATCCACATGCCACTGACGATGTTCGCCCCAGGAGGGGGAACCTCGTCGACGTAGGTGCGTGTGGACTTCCAGGAAGCCATCTCGGCGTCCATGGCTGTCTGCCACTGAGAGGAGTAGGGACCCGCCATCGCCTCAGCGTAAGTGCGCGGGGTCGGGATGTCTGGTGCATCCGGGTCTCCCTCAGGGGCAACTAGCAAGGACACGAGACGGGGCAAAGCAGCAGCAAGACACTGGAACTCCTCCTGTCTGTCCTCAAGGACGTCCGTGCCAAGAGCACACTCACCCCCGACGGACGGAGGACAGACAGACTCAGACTCAGACTCAGCAACAAGGCTAGCAGCGTAGTCTAGACGACAGGCAGCAGCAAAGTCAACCAACTCAGCGACCAGAGCAGACGCAGTCGAGGACTCAAAGGTAGGGTCAGTGACAACAGTAGCGAGGAGACGCGTGACAGTAGGGTGCTCAGCACGGTACCGGTCAGACTCAGGGTCCGGAACGTGAGGCAAAGAGGACGCAGGAGGAGACGGTAGAGGGACACGCTGAGGAGCAGTAGAGGGACGCAGAGTCATGTAGTGAGTGCCTGGGACAGGAGGAGGACGCTCACGACGGACACGACTAGCAGTGCGAGCAGGACGAACAGGCGACGCAGGACGAGACTCAGGCTCACGACGCTCTGTAAGACCTCCTGTGGGACCAGTGTAAGGAGAGGGAGCAGGGAGAGGCGAGGTAGGCGGTAACTGTGACTACGGCTGGACAGGCGGAGGACACTCTACGGAGGGAGGAGGACAAGGAGGAGGAGCCTGCCCAAGAACCTGCTGAAGGAGCGGTACGAAGTACGGTCGCGGCCGCGCACGTATGCCGTGGGTCAATAAGCGCGTTGATGGACGACCAGTCGAGTTCGCTGCTAGAGACGCGGGTGGGTCAACGAGGAGGGAAGGGCGCACACGCAAGACGGGGGATCCAGCGCGACCAAACGAGGGCGAAACGTAACGGCCGGCAGTACGAGGCGGCGGCTAAGCCAACTGCATGCGACACTAGAGCTGGCGGACAAGCGAGAAAAAAATAATTTGGCGGCTAAGCGAATGGTAAGCGATGCTAAAGCGACGAGCTAGAACATTGGAGAGACAAAAAAAAAAAAAAAAAAAAAAAAAAAAAAAAACGGTATATGGCCCCATCGCTTTCAATAGTAGCAGTGGGCCTTCCGTTCTGCATACCACAATAGTGGTATAGTTCCTCTGGTATAGCACTGGCTGTTAAAACCCGCGGGCCAAGAACTTCAACCTTAGGAAGGTTGGTTGGGACTGAAAACGTGATTGGCCCGCGAAATTTGGTAGTGTCGAGACTGTTAGAGGATGTTCGTGTACTTGCCCAGGTTCGCCAATGTTATCAGGATTGACCTGCGACATGCACTTCACACACACATCAGTCGCAGAGAGCCTAAACCGACACCCAACAACAACCAGTCTCACACACAACCCCACTTCCCAACACCACGTCACTGCATTGTAGTATAGGAAACTGCTCCGACTACAAGTAGCTAGGAAATTCAGCTTAGCGCATACGCAAAGCCACCTCGTCAAAGCAGACGGCGGGCGATAGTGATAGCGTATACAAAGCGGCGCTACGGCATCATTAGCTATCGCTGGGAATTAGAAGTGACACACAGCACGCTTCGAAAACGCCCGTAAGTGCGATTCCTTCCTCTGATCCCGCGGGTTGCGTTTGCTCGAGCCACGAGGACGTTACGCCACAAATTAACATTTCCCACCATGCAGTAAAAAGGTGGAGTCCAAGCGCTAGTGCGGCCCTACCCTCTCGCCGCGATTCACAAGAATCGGCAGCAGCATGTACTTTAGGCTCACGCTGATTCTCAGAGCTTTCCTCACGCCAATGTACCATGATCCCATCACACCACCGGTGTCAGCTGTCCGTCGTACACCTCCTCTTTCCTTCCCTTCCCGTCACTCAGCCTTGATTCATCGCCCTTCCCTTCCCTTCCCAATCCGATCCCTACCCTCCCCTTGCTAAAACTTCCCTTAGGGTACTTTCCTAGCCGCGCCAGTCCCTCCCCTGCAAGTACCGTCACTTCCCCCTCCCGTCGCCTCCATTTCCCCCTCCCGTCGCCTTCACTCCCTACTCCCGTCGCCTTCACTCCCTACTCTCATCGCCTTCACTCCCTACTCCCGTCGCCTTCACTCCCCCCTCCCGTCGCCTTCACTTCCCCTCCCGTCGTCTCTCTTCCCCCTCTCCCCCCCAATCCCCCCCCCGGCCTTTCCCCCACTCCCCCCCGTCCTTTCCCCCACTCCCCCCCGTCCTCGCCCCCACTCTCCCTCGCCCTTTCCCCCTCATAATCCTCCCACGCTAATCCTCCCTTCCCCCGCGCCACCCCTCTATTTCCCTCACGCGTATCCTCCGTTTCCCCCACGCTAATCCTACCTTCCCCCGCACCACCCCTCCATTTCCCTCACGCTAATCCTCCGTAGGCCCCACGCTAATCCTCCCTTCCCCCGCACCACCCCTCTATTTCCCTCACGCTAATCCTCCATTTCCCTCACACCAACCCTCCCTCTGCCCTACGTTACTCCTCCCTTTCCCCCACTCACCCCCTCCTCTTCCCCCACTCTTACCCACCATCCCACTGACTCCCGTCGTCCCCGCAACCTGCACCAGACCAGCGTCAACTGCCACACTTCGCTGATGCCCCGCTCTTTACCTCCCTTCACTTCCCCCTCCCGTTGCTCTTCACTACCCCCTCCCATTGCCTTCACCCTCCCTTCCCGTCGCCTACATTTCCCCCTCCTGTCGCCCTCACTTTCCCCTCCCGTCGCTCTTCCCTTTTCCCTCCCGTCGCTCTACTCTACCCCCTCCCGTCTCCTTCACTCCCCCCTCCCATCACCCTGCTCATTCTTCCGTCGCCCTCTCTTCCCTGTCTCACCCTGTTTCCCCAGCTCCTTCTCTTCCCCCTGTCTCACTTTGTCTGTCTCCCCTGCTCATTCTCTTCCCCCTCCCCCCCCCAATCCCCCACCCACTCTTCCTCAAATTGTTGGTGTACTTGCGCCAACGCGTCCTCCACCAATGCTCCCCTTTTCCCCACTCCCACCATCCCCTTTCCACCCCCGCCTCCCCCCCTTCTCCTGCAGTCGCTGGTGCACTTGCGCCATCGGTGAGTGTGGGGCAGCAGCATCACCGGCGCCTCTGCCTCGCTGCCCTCGCCTTTCCCTGCCTGCTCTCCGCCAACCTCGCCTGGACTGCCCTCTCCCACCACCCGTCCACCCCTCCCCCACCTCCCTGCACCTCTCCCACTGCCCTCCTTACCATTGGCTTCCCTCTCCCCTCCTCCTCATCGTCTCCCTCCGCCTCATCTCCTTCCTCCTCCCACTCCTCCTCTTCCTCCCCCCTCGCTCATATCGTTCTCTCTGGGGCTTCAATCGCTCCTCCCTCCTCCCTCTTCCCTCCTCACATCTTCGCGTCCCTCACTCACCACGACCTCTCCCACTCGCGCTGCGCCACACTACCTCCTCCTCCGCACCGCACCAGCCTCCACCGCACTCCACTCCTCCTCCACGCCCTCACACCCCACCCTGCGGCTAGCTGTGGTAACAAGCAGCAGTATCCCTCACACACCTCTCCCTCTCCACTGCTGCTGTCTCTGACGCCCTTGTGTTACACCTCGCCCACTCCCGTCCCCACACGGTATGCCAGCTCCTCACCACTCTCCACCGCACCCTACTCCCCCTCCACGCGCACACACAGGGCCTGCGGGCAAAAGTGGTTACAAGCAGCAGTATCACCCTCACACACCTTGATCTCTCCGGCTCACTCTGTCTCCCTTGCTGATTCTCTTCCCCGCAGCTCACTTTGTTTCCGCGCACGCTTCCAAACCCTTCCCGTCACCCCTGCCATTACCCTGTCTTCCGCTCCCATTTCCTTCCCCGACACCCACCCGCCCCATCCCCCTCTCCCCCGCGTCCAGTCCCCCACTGCCTGCTTCCTATCCCAAACAAAGAGAGGCCTAGGGTTGGAATTGCACCCAAACAAAGAAATGGATTGAATATTTCTCACCTCTGTGGCATCTTGCGCGCACGCTTTAGTGGTTTAAACGAGGGCGCATGGACTTGATCACCGCGGCAAGGGCTCAACTGTGCATAGAAACCAACAAAGACAAAAAAAGAAAAAGAAAAAATGTACGTTTGTCAAATACGTGTAAGCTATACTGAACCTACAGAGGCAAAACGATAGGCAAAGAAACGCTCTCGCAAGACTTACACGTGAGGCGGCAACGTGCTCGGGAAGGGCGCGGGCCACGGACGGTGCGGTGACGCCGCCTAGACCATGATGTGGTGTTGTTGGTTGAAACCCGGCCGGGACTGAAGATTGTGGCTGGGGGCGGGGTGGAAAAAATGCCTGCACTGTCATGCTCCGGAACAGATTCGGGTGCCTCCGACTCAGGTGTAACAAGCGGGTGTGCAGATGAGAGAGTGGAATGACTCGTTCAGCCAGCTTCCAGCCCCGATGACATAGGGCCGCATCTCGTCGGCGCTACAGTGAGTGGACAGCCACTTCTTCACTGCCGTGTGGGTCTCAGAGCCCGGCGGGTATACGGCACTCTCAGGCCCCCATTGATCCCTCACGCAGCGGGGAGGGACGTCACCTCTAGCACACCCAGTATGTAGACCAGCCCAATGATCAGCAGCCAACATGAGCTCGGCGGCCACATCTTCGGCAGACATGGGGGTGTTCATTTGTGCCAGTGTTGCACATCGCACCATAACATGGTGGAAGTGCACACTAAAGCGCTGCGCAACAGACACCTCCTCGACGAGATCATCCATGGCCAAATCGTCGTTACCAACCCCGTCCAACTCCCCCCGCCGCCTCTTTTGGATCCCCTCTCTTGCCAACGACGAGGAGGCGACTCGGGTTCGGTTGCATCATCTTCGCACGCGACAGTTTCTTGAGTCTCCACCCCTTGTGCGGCACGTGCACCTGTCACGGAAAAAGCCAGCATACGAGAGGGGCACAACAAGGGGGCAACTTTACATCTGCCAATGATCAATTGTAAGGAAGAACATAACAAGATTTGACAACCACCCCTAAGCCAAACAACCACCCCTTGGGCAACCATCGTACCTGATGTAGTAGCCTCTGTCGTCTCGGTCTCGTGCTCCAAGTCAGCCTCCTCATCTGGTGTGTGAACCCTGCCTGACACCGAAGCCTGGATGAGGAGGAACGACGCCTCTGAGCACGGGCGGACCCCACGCTCAGGATGCGGATCATAACCCCACAGCTCGCTGACATCCCCCACCTCAAGTCCTCCATGTCTCTGCGCTCCACCCGCACTCCAACTCCCTCTCCAGCTGTCCCTCCGTCTCCGACCATCCCCTCCCCATTTGTACTACCGCCCTCGCATAGCACCTCTACTCCAACCCTCCCCGATGTCGGTGTCGATGATGGCTGCCCACCGACATGATCACGCCCACCCTCCCCACTAGGCTGGACGAGAATATCAACCAAGGGGGAGGGAGACCCGGCTTCCCCCTCACGCCGTTGCCTTTTCATAGCGCGTCCTTCGTCATCCTGCCCACCTCCCTCATTCTCCTTCCCACTTCCCTCTGCACCAGCTAGCCCCTTCCGACGCAAGCGAAGCACTTGTCGCATGAGCGGCCACTTCCATTGGGCAGTTGTGGCTCTCATCTTTTTATACGTGTATTTTCCCAACTTGTCGCACACGGCCTTGACAAGTGACTCTCTGGTCGAGCCCTGGGAGAGCCGGCCCTTGTACCCATGCTCTTGCGGCCAGCTCCATAGATGCTCTGGTGATACATGCCAAACATCCTCTACACTCGTGCATTCGGGGACGCGGAGCGCCCCCTTCTTAGCATCAATGAAGTCGTGATGAAATCGTCTAGTCAAGTTTCGACCTTTGTGCCAGACATCCATTTGATGGTTGATCTCCTCACCAACAATTGCTGCCTTGAATGACCCCCCCTCATCGGATATTATGCCCTTGACAACAAACCCAATCTGCCTAAGCTGTTCTAATCCACGTTCGAACGCAATCTTCTCTAGACCAGTCGACGACCCACCAACCACGTTTTTTGAAACGGTCACACAATGCATCACCTTTCGAGTAATCCGATCCATAAACGACACGGTACACCATTGCCCCTCCCTAGCCTTGTCCCAACGACCATCCACACAAATCCACTCTCCTGGAATCAGCCTCTTTCCCATTTCTGCTCTTACTGCCTCCATAGACTTTGACGCCGCTTCTTGAAGAGTACACCACAACCCCTTATCCCCTTTCATGTATCGATAAAAGCTCTTTTTCGAAGGTATCCATAGCCCAATGGTACAACTGGCCTCCCACAACGCCTGATACCCCAAACCCGCGAGCGCAAACGCACCCATGTATCTTGATGCAAAAGGAGGTGTTCCGAGGGCCTCGTTTCCCCTCAATGCCATCCTGACAACGCCGATCAGAGGACCAAAACTCAAGTGTTCCACCACATTTTGTGCATCTCCACGCCAAGCCAAAACAGGTCCACAGTCGCCACCACGACTGTAACCTCATCCGACCATTGCAGCCTGATACAACTGTGCACCCAATACACAGTGTCATGACAAATCGCACGAGCAAGAGAGGATCAAGTAGACATACCACGTTTCCTGCAAACTCTGCAAGACTCGGTGAGACAGGCCAGCCAGGTGGGGGATCAGTGCACGTGCATGGTTGCTCTGCATCCTCTCTGCATTAGGATACAAACCAGGCCTCTGGTTAACAGGGTGATTCACCCTTATGACCCTTACTATAAGGCTGGGTTTGAATATGCACCATTTTTTATCAGAGTGGTCGTTTCTTTTACCCTTACAAGAAAAAGTGTTCGGTTATACTACACAGATATTTCAGAGCTAGGTGGTGTAGTAACACTGATGATATCGAGTTAGATCTAACGGAGTATAGCAAAATCATTCGAGTGAAATGGACTCCCCTTTAAAGCTGCTCACGTCAGATCTCCATACCAGGTGCTTCGCAGAGAATTCCTCACCACAACTGACTACAACACCAACAGCTGGTCAATTTCGGAAATTAATTTTTCTGTTGAAAAACTTACTTATGTTTGCACCCTTCCTAGAAAAAGTAGTTTTTGTGATCTACCCTTACTGAAAAAGTGAAAGCGGGGTGTTGGCCTTGATGGAAAGCGCGCGAATCTGGAGAGCATAACAAGAGATTAAGTCTGCCGACTTCGGCAAACCATTGCGTGCAGCTCACGTAACCTTAAAATATGAGCAGATACGCGTTGGAAAGGTCTTAATCTCTACGTTCCAGAATGATAAAGCACACCTTCAACCAAGATCTAGGCCGATCGCTATCGCGATTTAAGTGCGACGGGGTATCCTGGCGGAATTACTTGGAAGCCATGGATTAGATCTAGGAATGGCTTAAGCAAGAGTTCAGATCTGAAAAGTGACGAGTTTGTCAAACCCTACCATCCCAACCCTCGCCCTACAACAATCCCCAACAACCCAAAATGCCAAACTAGCAACACCAAAGGTGTTGTAGTGAATAGCAAAGGTTTGTTGGAGCTCGTTGGGTGCGAGATCAATTCCAGCCTGCAATAAGTCTAACCACCACATTTTGCCCAAACCCTTAGCCCACAACCAGCTAGAGCAAAATACTACAACCACCTACACAATCAACAGGCCTTACGTGGAAGAGCGGTTCAAAACCTAACCAGACCCTGATACAAACGCATGGCAGCATCAAACTCCATTGGAGGTGGGGTGATTTCAGAGTGCAACCAAGGGGCGGCATCAAGTTGCGGTACAATTCACAAGTGTAGAAGTGGGTGGAGGACCTACTGGATAAACACAAACGTACCTGATAGGCTGGGTCTCGATCGGCGACGCGGGCGAAGGCCGCTCCGACTCCCGGTGAGCCTCCGGGGCCTCTCCATCCTGATCCTCAGGAATACCCACCGTCTCACTCCCAGCCCCTTCGTCCTCCCCTCGTGTTCCCACCTCTCCACTCAACACCGAAGCTGGCAGGGAGCATGCCAGATCGACATTTGTAGCCTCAGCTACCACACCGCATGGTAGCGAAGGCGCCCGCAAATTCGGGCTCTCAGGGTCTTCCTCAACAGCAGGGGCGGGAGTCGGCACGACGACTACATCTGTCTCAGGAAGGGGCAGCATGTCCTCTTCCAGCTCGAGCACCACATCCTCCGCATCTTCAGTGACCTGCTCGGCCACCGCGGATTGATCCTCCTCGATCGAGTCTCCTGGGGGCAAAATACAAGGGTAGCGATACATGAGTCTCACCCCTCGCCACCCTCAATTGACCATTACCTCCAACCCGGATCATTCTGCCCATGGTACTCACCGCCACTTTTCAGACGTTCGTATGCCGGTCCACGATGTGCACCGCCGTGATTAAACCCTTTCGTGGTTTGCAGATTCCCCTCTTCGCTGAACTTGCAGTCCTTGAATTTATAGGTTACGCGGTCGATTGCACGCGGTTCCCGAGATAGGAGCTCGCCGGCCCTTCCCACCGGATTGTCACCACCAAACTGTAGCTCCTGGCCATGCGC